AGTTAGCATTTTAAACAGTATCAGTAGATTGGTGTTATCCCAAGCCAAAAATTATCAGTACTGTTAGTAGAAAGTTTCTCACCTGCTCCCCATCTTGGAACCTTTTATCGGATAGCAGGAAAGAGCAAAAATGGTAAGAAGAGTTTCCATGGTGTTTGTTAGAGTTCTGGTACAGGAATACCATGTAAACCAGGAACACAGCTGGCAGAAGTACTGAAAACAATTATGAACAACAGGATGCACAGGGAGAAACGTTAACACAAACTCTGTATTTTCAAATGAAGGTGATCATTCAAGGTGTGACTTACTATCATTTTGCTGTTGTTCGCACTGCAACAGTGTTTATTAACATGCATAATTTTTTTTTTAAGGCTGAGACTCACCACGCACTTTGCCGTTTCTGCATTTTCAAGGTGTCGTACTAATGAGTAAAGCTTCACATCAGCAAAAGCTGCTAGCACCGCCTGTGCAAGTCTAGGGACCCATATCTAGGTAAGCAGAGAGAAAATTTTACTTCCAACAAACCTGTTAAATTCCAAGTTCGAAGAGAAGACTACTGAATTAGCGAATGACTGTTTGGACCTGAAAGTGGTAAATTAGTGAATATTCTCTATAGCTTTTTTATGATTAAAAAAAAAAATAGTAAGGTCCCAGAGTAAGACTAGTATTTCTGCCAAAACAAAGAAAGTCTAAAGTTCAGCTGAAAGTGTTCAGAAATTGGAAGTAGAATTCTTTGCCATTCATCTCCAGTAGGAGTCAAAAGGGACTGCTGTTACTGAGTTTAGTACAAATATATGTTAAACACTTTGGAAAACTCAACCACTGAGCAATTATGATGTAGTGGCAAACAACATCAGTATGAAACTCAAGGGGAGTGATGGAGGCCAAGAATAATCCTCTGCAGTCACCGGCATCAGTACTGTGGCTGGGGATCTAAGAATGAGTTCTGCACCCATGCAAAACACTTCTGTGCAGTCTCTGTGCTCGTATGCCTCTAAGTGCCAGATTCAAGGCTTTGTATTTTACCTGAACAATGATAAAAACACACTGAATTTAAATACGATGCTTTTAAATTGAATTTTAGTAGCGGACACGTTTTTTGGTTGTACTCACCAGCAGCTGAACATCGTCCTTCCCCAGCAGCTGCAAAGCTTTGTAGATGCTTGCAAAGATCAGTGGGTATGAATAGCCCCTCAAGCCACTTGCCCATTCCCAAGTTAGGTAGCCATAATTAGGAATATTAAGGATAAATCTTGAACAACTGAGACAAAAGGTTTCATTCGAGCTGTGTGTCTTATTCTCAGACTCGCCCGGGTCGAGACATTTGCCCCGTGACCAAAGGCAGTGGGATCTCCGTTACTGGTCAAGCTAGCGCCTTACGGCCGTGGAAGTCTCCACCCGAGCGCTCCTCCCACTCGCGACACGGCGGCCGTGACTCTCCGGTCACGCGGGGGCGGTATAAAACTCGGGAAGCGGGGCCGTGTTCCCTCCGGCCCGCAGAGAGCGACGGCGAGGGGGCCGTGAGGGCCGGCGGCGCGAAGGATATTTGAAGACC